CTTACGGGTTGGATGCCTAGGAGAGAGCCCTTTTTCGCATGGTATATGAGTGAAGTGTTGTAAGAAAGCCTCAGCACCTAGATGAGGCGAGCACGCCGGGGCTAGGACTATGAGACAACATTACATTTATGTATTTGTCGGGCGGACAGGGAAGAGTGGAGATTTAGGCAAAACTTCTTTTCACTCAGCCATACCATTTTCCATCGGCGGGACGATGAAAAGCATGCCTTGAGCGAACAGCTCTATGCTTTCCAGCGTGAAATACATGAGGCTACAGGGTCCCCAGTAATTATCTGGGGGGAAAAAGCCGCTCCTGGGAAAAGACCAAATGATGCCATGGATGAACTGAGGTGCGATGCCGAATACCACGGCCTCTACAACATGGATCGGCAGACGTGGCAGGACACGAAATAAGCCCCATGCCGAAGTGGGGGGGTAGGGTTCAAGGTTTGGGGCTTAGGNNTTAGGGTTGAAGGTTTTAGGATCTATGGGCCTATGGCTTCAAAAGAAGTCTTAAAGCAATTCCCCCTTGTCACCCCGAGGCTTTAGGCCCAGCAGTCCAGGCGAGCATTCTGGGAAGGAAGTGCTCAAGATCCCGCAGGTTTTCTTCCTGGAACCTGCACAGACTGTTCCAGGGATTTCACAAGCCGGGCAGTCTTCGGCGTTGCTTGCTGAAGCGCACCTGCAACGTAGCGTAACCCTCAGGCTTGGAGACCTCTTGCCACATTGGACTTGCAGCTGCAGTTCTATCGAACCGCTAGTTAGAAATAAGCAAGTACAAGCTCGAAGGCACAAAGTGATAAAACAACAGATTCCAGAGCTTCAGAGCTTCTGCAGTCCCCCTGGCAGGACAAGCAGATTGATGAGCTGTTAAAGGGCAAAACACGGGACACCCCACCGTGGCTGCTGTACACTTGTGGGCCCATGGGGGTGGGAAAGCTCCTGGTCAGAATTTTCGGCTTGCGAAGGGCTTCAGTGTGAGAATTGACTGGCGGGGCGTTTGCTTGTGCCCTTTTCAACCGGACCAAGGAGCTTCACCCTTGAGTGGCTCAATAAGGAAGGCTATCTGAACATTCAGATGCTTGGCTGCACAGCATTTGTGCGCAAGTCATGAGCCAAGCTGGCTCAAGCGAACTCTCTCAAGGCGGGGTTTAGGGTTTGCTGGACTGCCTTACTTGTGCCATGGCCCCCTCT